TATTTAAATCCCACACTACAGCTATCAGTCTACAGTCTATTTAAATCACACTATAGCAATCAGTATGCAGTCTACATAAACTGTAACAATAGCAATCAGCATACAATCTATACAAACACCTCATTACAACATTCAGTCATCACTCTATACAAACCCTACACTACACCAATCAGCCTAAAGAATCCATATATAGCCCACATTGCAGCATACAGTCTACAGTCTATGTAAACATGGTACTACAGCTTAGGGTGTTGATCTGATGTTGTTGTTCTCGAACACCCTTTTTCCTCAGGCTGTGCTAGCGTTCTGGAGGTGGCGCTGGGTCTCTTCATCAATAACCACTTTGGTTGACAGGACACTCCCGAGGTTTGGGAAGTGGCCAACGTTCTCTAAGGCCTCCCCATGGACCTTGATGATCAGGGGCTCGCTCTGCAATGCCGGGCTGGGTTAATGGAAGACCTTCATCTTGCAGATGTTCAGGGTGAGACCCATGCTCTCATATGCCTCCACAAAGATGCTGACGATGGTCTGGGGTTCTTCCTCTGAGATTGCACGCACACACACAAGCATCATCTGCGCACTGCAGCTCAATGACAGTGGGTGGAGTGAGTTTGGTTTTGAATTGAAGGTGGTTCTGTAAGTTAGCTCCACACCAGCGGGGAGTTTGTCAGCAATGAGGTGAAGCATTGCAGCATGGTGGATCGAGAATGGTGTTGGGGTGATGACACAGCCCTGCTTGACACCGGTCCGAACGGGGAATGGAAACGGCTCTGAATTAACGGTCCAGCAATAACACCACAATGCTATCACTTCCCCTACAGCTCCCTCACTGAACAGGGCAGGTTGCGCGCATTGACCCGTTAATCTCATAGCCTGAGAAAACAATTCTTCACACAGTGATGGTCAGGAATGCATTGCCTGGAAATCCAATGGAGGCAGGTTCAATTGAGGCATTCAAGAGGTCATTGGATGTTTACTTGCACAGTAACAATGTGCAAAGGTACGGAAAAAGGCAGGTGAATAGCACAAAGACATGACGATCATTCAGAGACATGATGGGCTGAATGGCCATGCTTCTGCATCTTATCAATCCTATTATCCTGTTAATACATCAGGCAATGAGTGCAGGGACCAGAAGCCTTGACATCTAACAGGACTGTGAGCTGGTAAATACATCAAAACGGATAGACTGGCCCTTATTGTCTATATCAGTCTCCCCATCACTATTGACAAGGGAAGCTCCCTTCACCTTACACCATGTAGTCTATTTCATTTCCAAAAACTATTCAACAAGGTGCTACAGAAAAGATCATTACAGATGATGGCATTGGGAGTGATATATCAGCAGGACAGATAACAGGCTAACTGACTGGAAACAGAGAATTGGGATTAAATGAGGCTTTTATAGGTTGGCAAACTGTAACTAGCAAAGTGCGACAGTGCTGGAATGATTTACAATCTGCATTAAAGACTTGGATAGGGAACAGAGCGTTTGTAGACAGATGTGCTGATGATACAAAGAAAGGTAGGAAAACAAGCTGTGGGGAGGATACAAAGAGATTGCAGGGGAGAGAGAATGAGTGAGCAAAAATATGGCAGACGGTGTATAATTGTGGAAAGAAGTGACCTAGTCCACTTTGGCAGAAAGAGTATAAAATCAGAATGCAACTTAAATGAAGAAAGACTGCAGAGATCATCTGTGTATGTGAATCATGCAATGTTAACCACAGGAACAGCAAGTAATTAGTGACGCAAATAGAATGTTGTTTATTTTTAACAAGCAAGATGGAGTATAAAAGTAGGAAAGCCCTCCTACAGCTGTACGGCACATTGTTGAGATCATACCTAGGGTAATGCACTCAGTTTTGGTCTGCAGGTTGACCCACAATGCCCTTCGGGAGGGAATTCCAGTATTTAGACCTGGTGACAGTGAAGGAGCGGTGATATATTTCCAAGCGAGGATGGTGAGTGGCTTGGAGTGGAACTTGCACATGGTGGCTTTCCCATACATCTGCTGCCCTTGATCTTCTAGATGGAAGTGGGTCATGGGTTTGGAAGGTGCTTTCTAAGGGTCTTTGGTGAAATTCCACAGTGCAGCTTGTGGATAGTACACACTGCTGCTACCGAGCTTCGGTGGTGGAAGCAGTGGATGTTTGTGGATGTGGTGCCGATCAAGTGTGCTGCTTTGTCCCGGATGGTGTCAAGCTTCTTGAGTGTTGTTGGGGCTGCACTCATCCAGGCAAATGGGGAGTATTCCATCACATCCCTGACTTGTGCCTTGCAGATGGTAGACAGGCTTTGGGGAGCCAGCAGGTGAGTTACTCTCACAGTATTTCTAGCCTCTGACCAGCCCTTGTATTTGTGTTTAAACTTGTCTGATTGATAGACAGGTTTTTGATCTTTCAAGAGAGCCAAAGGTTATGGGGTTAGAGCTGAGTGGAGAGTCAGTCAGGAAAGCAGAGTTAAGTCCACCATCAGATCAGCCATGATTTTATTGAATGGTGCAGCACGCTTGAGGGGCCAAATGTCCTGTTCCTGTATCTCACGTTCTGATGAGGTGGAGAGACACTTATGTCTGTGAAGTCAGTGTGAGAGCAAATGGTGTCCTCAGTGCTTGGGAGTAAATGTCCAGCGCTACACGAGGCATCATACTTACCCCTATCCTCTCCAACACCAACCATTCCCAATGGAGCTGTCAGTGAGCAGGACACAACTCGCCCGGGGTGGGAGTGCTGGGAAGTGCTAGGAGTGGATCCTCACCCAACTTCGAAATCTGAGCTCTCTCTGCACAGACAGAAATAAACCTGGCGTCAAGACACAGAGGTAGATTGGGAGTGTGTGTGTGTGTGTGTGTGTGTGTGTGTGTTGGGGATAGAGGGGTTTCAGAAATAGCTCAAGAAATGTCACCAATTGTGCATTATTTAACCCGAAGTGGTTCAAATATTGAAATGTAGCACCACGGTCTAACTCTTGTGGCACACTGACTGGAGCTGTGAGGCTGTGTTCAAATTCTACCTACTCTCGGTTTGATTGGAAGATATTTTTATAATAAGATCTAACTATGAGGGATCAATTGACTAAATTGGAGATTTCTTAGAAACAATCTTGCGGGGGGTGGGGGGGAGACTATTGTGTTGGTCGTTTACAATAAAATTCTCTCCGAACTTGGCATTATCATTAATAAATGGGATCCTGAGAGTGAGGAAGCTCTTGGTGACCTTGCCAGAGTTAGCAGGCAAATATACTCTCTGAAGGTGAATGTGGACTGATTTAAAAAAGTAGGGCAAGATCTGACCACAGGGAGGACCAGGGACGGGAGCTGTGAGTGATTCCAGGGTGCAGGCAGTTTATAACGAGGTGGTAAAGGAAAAGGTGGGTGAGTGAAAAGGGTATATATACACACACACACACACACACACACAGACACGTACACACTCAGAAACATACAGACACACAGACACAGACACACACATACACACACACACATAGACACACACACACAAACACACAGACACACACACACAGACACACACACACACACACACAGACACACACAGAAAGGAGTAAAGCAGTGAGTGGCAGGCTACTTAATACATGCAGACACAGATGCTCGTCTCGCTTTGATTGACAGCTTGGCTAATCGAGCCTCGCTATTTAAAGGGAGCCCGAGCAGTGCAGGCGCACAGTAAGTGTCAGAGAAAGAGGAACACACACACACGCACACATATATATTCAGACACACATACCAGAGAGGAAGCTAGTCCAGTTCCAGTCCCACAGCCGGAGTGGAGGGAAACCTAACCAGCATTCGAACTCCGGATTGACACCTGGTTTCTCGTTCCACCGGAGGGGGTTTTGTTTTTGTTGCAGAAAGGAGCCAGTTCCTGGGATTTCTACCCCTGCGTTTATTTGGGAATCTGCCGCTGGGAGCCGGGCACAGGGACAGGAGCAAAGCGATCTTTGGGACAGTGTTAGACCCGGCGATGGCAGCTTTCCCCAGCATTGGCACTGCGCTCTTTCTGCTGTTAGTTCCCCAGGTAACTCCACCACTAACCTCCTTATTTACCCCCTCACTTCCTGACTCTGCCTCCTCTCTCCCTCTTCCTCAGCTCCTTCCCATTTAAACACTCCCCATCTTTCTGTACATTAATCTGTCCAATTTCTCTCTCTCCTCATTTCCCTAATTTTCTCTCCCTGCCCTTCCTTGAGTGTATGTCGTTCTATCTTTCTCTCTCCCACGCTCTCTACATCGTTCTCCCGAGCTCTGTCTCTTTCTCTATTTCTCCCTAAACCGCTGTCTTACTTTCCTTATCCTTCTCTCCCCTTCCCTTTATAACGCACTCTATATATGCATAAATATATAGTTCCCTCTAATTTTCTCTCTATCATGCTATCTAGTTCTGTCGCTCTCTATCTTTCGTCTCCCTTCCTCCTTCTCCCATGTCAATTCTCCACCACCCCCCCAATTCACCATCACCTTCTCTCTCCCTTCACCATCACCCTCTCCCTCCCTTCATCATCCCCTCCCTCTCCCTCACTATGACCCTCTCTCTCGATTCACCATCACCCTCAAACTCCCTGCACCATCCACTATCATCCTCCCTTCACTATCCACACCTTCCCCCACCGTGACCCTATCTCTCACCATCACCCTCTCTCTCCTTTCACCATCACCCTCACTCTCCCTTCACTATCCTCTCCCCCTGCCTCACTATGACCCCTCTCTCGATTCACCATCACCCTCTCTCTCCTTTCACCACGACCCTCTCTTTTTCTCTGTTCACCATCACCCTCTCTCTTTCTCTCTCCCTTCACCATGACCCCCTCACTCTCCCCTTCATCTCACACCCTCTCTCTCTCCCTTGACCATCACCCCTTCTCTCTCTCCCTTCACCATGACCCCCTCTCTCTCCCTCCTCACCATCACCCTCTCCCTCTCTCTCTCTGTTCACTGTAACCTTGTCTCTCTCTCCCCCTCCTCATCTCTCTCTCTCTCTGTCTCTGTTCGCCGTGCTGATCTCGGTGTCTGTGTTTTTGAAAGGTTTCTGCTAGCGGTACATTCGAGTTGAGGATCGGACAATTTGAGAACTCTGGCGCTCTGTTAGCTGCTGGGAACCGCTGTGTGCCTGAGTGTCGAACCTTCTTTCGGGTGTGTCTGAAACATTTCCAGAAGGTGGTGTCCCCGGAGCCGTGCACCTATGGCAATGTGCTGACCCCGCTGCTGGGCACAAACTCGTTCACTGTGCCGGACAGCCAGGCTCCGCTCAGAATCAACTTCACCTTCAAATGGCCGGTGAGAGACAGAGGCACAGAGAGAGAGAGACTGGGGGACACAGAGAGACAGAGAGTGACACAGAGAGACAAGGAGACACAGAGACAGAGAGACAGAGACAGAGAGATGCATAGAGAGACAGGGAAACACAGAGCGACACATAGAGAGAGAGACACAGACAGAGGGAGACACAGAGAGACAGAGACAGGGAGACACAGAGAGACAGTGAGGGAGACAGGGAGGCACAGAGAGACAGAGAGAGAGAGACAGGGAGGCACAGAGAGACAGTGAGACAGAGAGAGAGAGAGGGAGGTACACGGAGACAGAGAGACAGGGAGGCACAGAGAGACACAGTGAGACAGAGACAGGGAGGCACAGAGAGACTGAGACAGAGAGAAACAGAGACAGAGAGACAGACAGGTAGAGAGAGACACAGACTGAGATAGAGTGTGTTGCAAACCGATGCGCATGTCTAAGGGATGTGGCTGCACTCTGAGAGCTCATCTTGTGCAGAAAGTTATAAACTCTGAAATAAAGCGCAATATGAGATTGGGAACTGGACCCTGGGCTTAATGTGAGGGTGCGCTACCCCCTACAAACCTGACGGCGTGGACTGAGCAGTGGCAAGGGCAGACACGGGCAGTGGCAAGACACTCAGTATCCAGAACACACAGACACACTGACACAGACAGAAAGACAGAGAGAGACACATACAGAGACACAGACAGAGAGACACATAGACACACTGACACAGAGAGACACAGACAGCGAGAGATCGAGAGAGACACAGACGCACTGATACAGACAGCGTGAGACACAGACAGAGACACAGAGAGAGATTCACACTGACACAGGGAGATATTCAGACACTCAGCTACAGAGATACACTCAGACACAGATACTGACACACACACACACACACACAAACAAGAGACATGTTGACACAAATGCACTGATAGACACAGACACAATCACGCACAAAACACAGAGACGCGGAGAAATACAAACTGAAAATGATCTTGTGCAGGGACATAATAACCACGTGATGTCTAACCCGATGCTGATGCACATGTGAGGCGAGTAGCTCTCAGCTGTACCCAACACAGGAGCCCTTTTAGAGAGCTGGGGGTGTAGGGGGCTGTTCACTAACCCAGGGCCCCCTCAGAAATCAGGCAGCCAATCCGAATGAAACCCTTAACGCCGTGCCCAGTGTACGGATATAAATCTTCTGCCTGCTGCAACCGGGCGATCGTTTGCTAACTCCAAGTCTCTGTCTCTTCATGTTTGACAGGGAACTTTCTCTCTGATCATTGAAGCCTGGAATTCTGCCTCGAATCTGCCGAGTCCCAGTAAGTGCCACAGACCGCGAGGGGGCGGCAGCGAGCCGCACTTCCAGGAGCACAGCTCTGGGGACCAAGCCCCACTTTAAAGTCTTATTTATTTATTTGTCATAAATTCGAACAAAGGCTTCTCGCAGACTCCCTCCACTTTTGTTTTTTTTTTGTTTGTTGTTGTTGTTTTGGTTTTGTTTTAGTTTGACTGCAGTGCTTTGTTTTATGAAGTTACAGCCTCCCATTTATTCAGTGCTGATGTAGCTGCTCCTCATCTCCCCCAGTGTTCACAACACAATCAACTTCCTCTCGGTTATTTTTGGTGTGGGAAACCGAGCTGGTGAGAAAAGCTGAGCTTTGCCAAGAAGTCAAGGCGGCCTTTTCCTGCGTTTTACACCTTTTTAACAAATCAGCGCCGCCCTTTTTGGACCGGCTTTCAGACATGGCCATCAAGGGTTAGGGAGGAGCTGACAAACTGTTAGGAAACTATTAGGGAGAATGGCTCAAAGCTCCACATACCCAGTCATCACTCTGGGATTTCTGTTCCCATCACTCAGGAATAGACCCCATTCCTCAAGAACTGTTCCCATCGCTCTGGGATTATGTTCCCATCACTCCAGGTTTGTTCCCATCTCTCTCGACTCTTCCCATCACTCAGGATAGACCCCATTACTCCAGGATTGCTCCCATCATTCCGGAATAGACCCCATTCTGCGAGAATTGTTCCCATCACTCTGGGATTGTTCCCACCACTCCAGAACCGACCCCATTACTCCAGGATAGAGCCCATCACTCCGGGATTCTGTTTCCATTACTCTTGGATTGACCTCGTCGCTCTGGGATGGATGCCCATCACTCCAGGATTGCCTGTCTCCATCACTCCAGGATTGTTATTATCACTCCAGGATTGTTCCCACAGTACCAAATTTGGCCCCATCACTCTAGGATATTCCCAATCTGCCGGATTGCTTATCCCCATCACGCAGGATCGTCTGTCTATCCCTCCAGGACTGTCAGCACCACTCTGGATTTGACCCCATCACTCTGGGATTGTTCCCATCGCTCTGGGATTGTTCCCATCACTCTGGGAATGTCGGTCCAGGATTGCCTGTTTGTGTCACTCCAGGATCACTGCAGGAGCTGCGGACTTCAGTCATGCTGGGCTATGCGTTTGCCCACTACTTCAGGATTTGTGCCCCTCTGTCTCTCCTGGTTCGATGCAGGATTACACCAGGATTAGTCTGGGATCTGTACATCTTCGCCACCCTGGGATCACTCCCAGAATCTGCGAGTCTTGAACACTCTAGAATCTGTTTGTCTCTATCACTCCAGGATCACTCCTACTACCTATGATTCCACACATTGGGATTACTCACTGCAGGATTTGTGTACGTTGACAGCTTTTTGAATACTCTAGGGTCTGTCTGTCTGTCTCCATAGGAACAAAAGGAAACCATTCAGCCCTCACAGATCCTTAATCTTCAAAGTTCCAGGAAATATCATCCTACTTTGAGTAAACTCATGTCAATTTAATCTGGGCACTGTTCACGATCGCTGTGTCCTTCCCAAAGTGTGATGCACTCACTTTACTCCACTGTATTCTAACTAGGACCTACATGCAGCTGACTTATCCTCTTCAATCCTATAGGAATAAAAGTCAGCATTTCACTGGCTTTTTGTGAAGTTCCTGTAGGTGTTGATGGTATTTTAACGATCAATGCACATGAGCCTTTCAGTCTATTCAAAGCTCCAATGGTTCTAGCCTATCCTGCCCTAAGAAGTACTCCAGTCAATCCCATCGCTATTCAAAGTTGATGAGCTCACATCAAAAATCCATTTACCATGGTTTTGCCCACTGTCGGAATCACAGAACATTTGGCCCATCCTGTCAGCACCAGTTCTATCCCCTAGCACCAATCTCCTGCCTTTTCCCCATATCCCTGCTCACCATTTCTATCCAAATAATCATCCTCTTGAACACCTCAATTGAACCTGCCTCCACCACATTTCCAGGCAGCGCATTCCACACCCGAACCACTCACTGAGTGAATAAGATTTTTCTCACATCCCCCTTGCTTCATTTGCAGATCACTCTAAATCGATGCCCTCTTATTTTAAGAGCAGAAACAGTTTCTCCCTGTCTATTCTGTCCAGCCCTACCATGATTTTGAAAACCTCTATCGGATATCCCTCTCAGTCTTTATCTCTTCGGGGAGAGCTGCCCCAACTTCCACAATCTTTCCTCATTGCTGAGGTTTCTTATTCCTGGCACCTTCCCTGTTCATACCACTTTGCAATTATCCACGAGTACAGAGCTTCTCAAATCATGGAGCAAAACCATTTCAAAGGAGACGTTAGAGACTTTACAGAGGGTCCTCATATCAGAGTGAACTGTTAACAGAAGTGAACCAGCAGGAATGTCCAGGAGCAGGTTCCATTCCCCCTTTGAGGTCCTGCTCTCTGTCTGGGAAGAAAAAAAATCATTTCTGTGCTATTTCTGTGTAATGCCCTTACCCTAACCCTAATATAGCTGCCAGGGGAAAAAAGAAAGAGGGAACCCCCATCTCGCTCAACACTGCAGGCAAATAGCTGATGCCCCCCAAAAAATTAAAGCACTCTGTTGTCAGCCAATAGAATCATAGAGTTGTACAGCACAGAAACAGACCCTTTGGTCCAATTCGTCCATGATGACCAGATATCCAAAATTAGTCTAGTCCCATTTGGCCCATATCCCTCTAAACCCTTCCTAGTTATATACCTATCCAAATGCCTTTTAAATATTGTAATTGTCCCAGCCTTCACCATTTCCTCTGGCAGCTCATGCCATACATTCACCACCTCTGTGTGAACAAGTTGCCCCTGAGATCTCATTTTAAATCTTTCCCCTCTTACCTTAAACCTACGCCCTCTAGTTTTGGACTCCCCCACCCTGGGGAAAATGCCCTGGCTATTTATCCTATCCATGCCCCTCATGGTTTTATAAACCTCTATAAGGTCACCCCTCAGCCTCTGACACTCCAGGGAAAATAGCCCCAGCTTATTCAGCCTCTCCCTGTAGCTGAAACTCTCCAACCCTGGCAAAATCTCTGTAAATCTTTTCTAAACCCTTTCAAGTTTCACAACATCCTTCATTTTCACATTCTGTTTATTACGAGTAATAACTAAATGGACGGGGTCCGCGATGGTGAATTTCCATCTGAGAGAGCCATCTGACAAGCCAAAGATTGAGCATCAGTGATCCACATAGCTTTGGGTCACCTCTCATTTGCAGACTCGGATTGGTGACTTGCTATCCCTTCATTGAAGCTGCCGACAAATGTAGTGAAGCCAGCACTGATCCTGTCAGTGCTTCACAAGCCACACGCCACTGTCTGTAGAGCGCCAGTCCATCATACCTGCTCTCTGTCACCTTTCACTTAGCTGATCTCATCACCAAGTCAGTAAGTCACCCACAACTCCCATCAACTCCAACATTCACCAACCATCTCCTGGGACAGGTTTTCATTGGGTGCCTTTTTCAATCTTTGTGCTGTGCAGAGTATGTGGGGTTGGGTGGGGGGGTGGTGGGGGGATGGTGGTGTGGGGGGAAGTGGGTAGCGTCCCTGCCTCTGAGTCAGCAACTAAGTACTCCTGGCCAAGAAATGTGTGTTCACAATGCAGCTCGACAATTTGCAACAGCTTCCAACAAACCCCAATGGCAGATGGTAGGAGTGGGAGATATTCCTGGTCAGCCAAAGTGATAGAAGGAAGATTAGGAGCCTCTGCCACCTCTATCCCTAACTCCAGACCACAACATGCATGGAAAAATGGATGTTACCATAGCAGCTTAAACCCCGGGTGTACTGGTTGGCAGAGGAGTTGGAACAGATCAAGTTGGTTCCAGTGATGTTGAGCTCGATCGTTTTCTAGCTGTAATGGACCTGGCTCCTTGCTCTAACTGTGCATAGACCAGACAAAAAATGTAGGACAGAGGATGTTATCAGTTCGGGATCAGTTAATTCTGGAATATATGTGCCGATATAAATTGGGATCAGTTTATATCCATCACTCCAGGATCTGACTACCTCCTCAACTGTGCGTCTGTTTCTCACACCCACTCTGGGATCTCTGTATTTCTCTCATCGGTTTTGGAACTGAAGAATCAGCTGTGTGGTTGACATCTGAAACTGTTACTTGTTTACTTGCTCTCTCAAATGCTTGATGATTTGGGCTTAATTTTCGCATTGAATCCCCCACATACCCCAAAGCAGTGACCTACCCAGGTTTGATGGTTGCCCCTCCTGTATTGTTCCCCTGCTACTCTCCTCCAATCCCCATCCCATTTCATTCTCTCTGGACACCCATGTCCACACCCCCAACCCCCCACTCCCCACCCCAGCACAGTTCCCCCTTTCCCATCACCCCCCATTCCTGGCGATTCTGCCATTCCCAACTGACCCAATGCACAGGGAGATCCACACAGGGGCTGAGGAGGTTCCTCCTGTATCTCCCCTAAAAGTTGCCTATCCCTAATTGCCCAGAGGGCAGTTGAGAGTCAATTACATTGCTTTGGATCTGGAGTCATATGTAGGTCAGACTGGGTAAGGAGATAAATTTCTTTTCCGTTAGTGAACCAGATAGGTTTTTCTCCCCCTGGCAATTGGAAACAATTTCCCCTCTGAATTCCAGAGAGTTGCTGAATTCAAATTCCACTATCGACCATAGCAGGATTTGAACCCTGGTCTCCAGAACACTACCCGAGGGTCGTTGAATTAATAATCTAGTGATAATACCACCAGACCATTAGCTCCCCAAGTCTTGGTGGTCTCTTGTTTATTTGTGAAGCTACCAGTCTCTGGCAATAAGCCAGTGCCCGGTGTTTAGCTCCTGGTTTAATGAGTGTGGTTGATTGATTTATTTATTGCATTGTATATCAAAACACAGTGAAAAGCTTTGTTTATGAGCAGTACAGTCAGACCATAGTAAGCAAAGGATGTACAGATCAAAAAGACTTAGAGGCACACAGGTTAGATTGCACAGGGCGTGCACTAGGCAAGATCAGCATTGTTTGAGGCTACAGAGTCCATTCAACAGTTTGATAATGGCCAGGAAGAAGCTGTTCCTGAACCTGAGTGTGTTCAGACTTCTGTATCTTCTGCCTGACAGAAGAGGTTGTAGAGGTTATTACCAGGATGCGATGGGTCTTTGACGATGTTGGCCGCCTTTCTGCAGCAGCGAGCCGTGTAAATGGAGTCCATGGATGGAAGGTTGGCTTCCGCGATGGTCTGGGCTGTGCTCACCACCTTCGGTAGTTTCTTACAGTCCTGGGCAGAGCAGTTGCCATACCAGACCGTTATGCACCCGGACAGTATGCTTTCAATGGTACATCTGTAGAAGTTGGTGTGGATCCTTATGGACATGCCAAATTTCCTGAGCTGAATGAGGAAGAAGAGGCGTTGTTGTGCCTTCTTGACTGTCTCATTTACGTGGGAAATCCAAGACAGGTTGTCGGTTATTGTCACTCCGAGGAACTTGATGCTCTTGTAATAGTTGGGCCAAGCTACTGCAGTGTCTATGGGAAGGGAGCCCAGGATGGAGTGAGGGAGGGTCTGAATTGCCCTGGTTTTGTAGTCTCCATGGCATTTCTGCCCTCATCTTTAACCACTTCCATTTACAAGTTTGCTGAAGACACCACCATCGTAGGTCGGATCTCGACCTACGACATGAGAGTACAGGAAAGAGATAGAGAACTTACTGGCGCGGTGTGCAGACAACAATCTCTCCCTCAACGCCAGCAAAATGACGAGGCTGGTCATCGACTTCCGGAATTGGATTGGAGGACGTGTCCCCGTCTGCATCACTGGTGCTGAGGTGGAGATGGTCGAGAGCGTCATGTACCTAGGAGTGAATATCAGGGACAATCTGTCCTGGGCCCATCCCTGTTGACACATGTCAAGAAAGCACAACAACGCCTCTGCTTCCTGAGGAGGCTAAGGGAATTCACAATGGTCCTGTCTCATTTTTATAGCTGCTACCACGAAAAGCATCCTATCCGGATGCTTCACGGCATGGTATGGCAACTGCTCTGCCCAAGACCGCGAGTAATTACAGAGAGTCGTGAACACAGCCCAATCCATCACAGCCTTCCCTCCACTGACTCCGCCTACACTTCCCACTGCCTCGGGAAAGCAGCCAACATCATCAAAGTCCCCTCCCACCCCTGTTATACTCTCCCATGGGGCAGTAGGTGCAAATGTTTGAAAACATGTACCAACAGATTCAAGAACTGCTTCTTCCCTGCCATTATCAGACTTACGAATGGACCCCTCACCAGTTAGAGTCGATTCATCTCTGCACCCCTTCCCTGTGGCTGTAACCCTACATTCTGTGTTCTTTTCTGTTACTCTGACGTGCTGACGTGAGGCATGACTTTGCATGCCAAATAATACTTTACACTGTATCCCGGTACACACGACAATAATGATAAATCCAAGCCCCCGTGTTAATCTGGGCTGTTTGCTGTCCACAGATGTGACCAGCCCTGAGACATTGATCAGTCGCTTTGCCATCCAGAGGCACCAGTCAGTGGGCACAGCCTGGGCCCAGGATTCCCTGCAAGGGGAGCACACTCAGTTGCACTACTCATACCGGGTGGTATGCAGCCAACACTACTACGGAGAGGGATGCTCTGACTACTGCCGGCCCCGGAACGACACCTTCGGGCACTACACCTGCGGCAAGGAGGGGCAGAGGCACTGCCTGCCGGGCTGGCAGAATGAATACTGCTCACAACGTAAGGAGGGGCACGCGGCGCCCACACCGACGTTGGCGCGGTGGCTCAGTGGTTAGCACTGCTGCCTCAAAGTGTCAGGGACACACCCCAACCCGGCTTCGATCCCACCCTCGGCCGACCGCTTGCGCGGGGCTTGCGTGCTCTCCACGCGGGCTTCCTGCGGGCACTCCGGTTTTCCTCCCCCCGTTCCAAAGGCGCGCAGGCCGTGCTAAATTGGCCATAGTGTCGTAGGTTAGCCATGTTGCGGGGGGGATAGGATAGGAGGTTGGGTCTGGGTGGGAGGCTCTTTGGACTTGATCGGCCAAATGGACTGCTTCCACGCTGCTTTGGGATTCTATGATTGTGACCCACAGAGAGTGGAGGAGCAAGCAGAGGGAGAACCAGTGGACTGTACACCCCGGTACTATACACTCTTTAGCTCCACTGGGGTTTCATCCTAGCACTGTCTATCCATGTCCCCCCCCATGCTGTAGAGTCATTCATGGCACAGTGCTCTTTCTACCCGTCTATCCCGTTGCTGCCAATTTATTCCCAGAGCATCCAGCTAAGGCCATTTCCGAGAGAGTCGGCCACACCGCCGTGGGTCTGGAGTCACACTTAGGCCGGACCGGGTCAGGGTGGCAGCTTTGCCTCCCCGAGAGGGCATTCACCAACCAGTCGGCCACTGAGACGAGTTTCAGCTGCGGATTGCCTCAATTGGATCGAAATTCCGGCAGCAGACCCGTGCCACCAGATCCCCGAGCCAGGCCGCAGAATTCCCAGCCGGACGACGTTCCCGCAATGCCAGCTGCCTGCCTTCATGTGGGGCTGGTCCTTTGAAAACGTGTCACCGCGGGCATTATTACTGGTGAGGAAAAGGAGTAGGGGAAGAGGCGTTTGCGCTCCCTCCCACCGCCCCACCCAACCTCGCACTGGGTGCAGGTTACTACTGGAACAGGGATTAGTCTGTCACTGCCTCAGATTTACAATGTCTTCTTTTTTTTTAATTCCCTCCAGCGATTTGCCAGGCTGGATGCAGCTTGGATCATGGCTACTGTGACCAACCAGGCGAGTGCAAGTAAGTGATGGAGGAGCATGGGCTGCGAGTAACGGGACATCTCTCCACCGCACACGTCATACTGACACGGACCTTCATTCGGACCATATCCTCTTGTTTCTTCTCACTATTGTGGCTGCCCCCTGCCACTCTATGTTACTCCGGTTATCTGGAGTCACCCCACTCTGCCCCAGCTGATCCTAGCCCAAAACCTCCTGCCATAACACATCCCTCCTCACCTCAGACCCTCCCCAACCACTACCTGTGGACACACAGACACACACACATATACATACAGACAGGCACACAGATAACACACACACATAGACACAGACACAGACACACGCGCACACACACGCACACACACACACACACACACACACATATGAAGACTTACACACATAGATATACATAGACGGACATACACAGAGACCCCCACACACATACACATACAAACGTACACAGTTGCACACACACATGCGCGCGCGCGCGTGCACACACACACACACACACACACACACACGCACACACCATACACACATTGCAATGCAATATAATGCAGTATAATGTGGATAAATATGAGGTTATCCACTTTGGTCACAAAAACAGGAAGGCAGATTATTATCTGAATGGTGGAAATTTAGGAAAAGGTGAGATGCAATGAGACCTGGGTGTCATGGTGGAACAGTCGCTGAAGGTTGGCATACAGCAGGTAGTGAGGAAAGCTAATGGCATGCTGTCACTCATAGCAAGAAGATGACAGTATCAGAATAAGGATGTCTTGCTACAGTTATACAGGGCTTTGGTGAGGCCACACCTTAAGTATTGTGTGTAGTTTTGGTCTCCTAGTCTGGGGAAAAGACATTCTTGCTATTGAGAGAGTCCAGTGAAGGTTCACCAGACTGATTCCCGGGATGGCAGGACTGACATATGAGGAAAGACTGGATCGACTGGGCTTGTATTCACTGGAATTTAGAAAAATGAGGGAAGATCTCATGGAAACATATACAATCCTGATGGGACTGGACAGGCTAGATGTGGGAAGAATGTTCCTGATAGGAAAGTCCAGAACTAGGGTCACAATCTAAGGATATGTGGTCAACCATTCAGGACTGAGATGAGGAAGAAATTCTTCACGCAGAGAGTTGTGACCCTGTGGAATTCTCTCCCACAGGAAGCTGTTGGGGCCAGTTCATTAGATATATTCAAGAGGGAGCTGGACATGGCCCTTTCAGCTAAAGAGATCGTGGAGAATGGAGAGAAAACAGGAATGGGCTATTGAAATTGCATGATCAGCCGTGGACATATTGAATGGTGGTGCAGGCTTGAAGGGCCAAATGGCCTACTCCTGAACCTATTTTCTATTTTCTATGACACAAACACACACACACACACACATACACACACACACACACACACAGAGACAAAGACAGAGAGACAGACACACAAACAAAGAGACAGACACACAAAGACCCACACGTACAGACACAGACACTCCCAACACTGAGACACATCCTTGTTCCTTGAGCTGTCAACAATCTATTCCTGAAGATTTTAGCACATGGTTGTCGCTCCACCCTGTCTCACCCTCTGTCCCTCGTCCCTCCAAGTGTAAAGCAAAAAGCTTCAAGACCCAATTGGCTGGTGCTTAACTGTCAACCCAAGCTGCCCTGTTCTTCCACTTTCAATATTTTAATATTGGATAGAGAAATATTCAAATGTTTTTCTAACATCCCTGTGGTTTTTATCTCCTTTATTCATTCACAGGATGTGGGCATCGCTGGCACAGCCAGCATTTTGTTGCCCATCTCTAATTGCCCTTGAACTGAGCGACCTGCTAGAACCATTTCAGACAGGGCAGTTCAGTCACCCACAAAGCCGTGGGTCTGGAGTTACATATAGGCCAGACCCAACAAGGATGTAAGATTCCATTCCTTAAATCCTCAGAATTAGGTCCAGCACTGTGCTGTCCTTTGCTGGACCTTCCTCACGTTGGCATACCAAGTTCTCCTGCATCCATTTCAAGAAATCTGACACACCTGCAAACCATTCAATTATCCCAAATTGAAAGTCGAAATCCCTTGCTTTAATTACCCTCTTACTATTTTTACACAACTCAGTGAATTGTCTGCGTACCTGCTCCTCTATTGGCCTCTGACTGTTTAGGAGCCAAGCTGTATCCACAAAAAAAGCCTCAGTTGACGATGCTCTCCAAGATGAGCCTCCTTACCGCAGTAACTAACTCCTTAATTAGTGATGTGGCAGTACCTTCTCTTTACAATACCTCCCCTAACAAAGACTATCACAGCATCAGACGATGGGGTTTATTCCTACATTTGTACCAGAAGATTGCGTTTGTGGCTGTCTTCCTGTTTCTGAGCTGTTCGTTTCCCTGATCGAAATGAGCGATGTGATTAATCCTGTGCCTTTCTCTCTCTCTCCCACTAACCAACACCCCCTCACCCCCCACCCCACCCCCCACAAGGTGCCACTACGGATGGCAGGGCCCGTTGTGTGATCATTGCATGCACTATCCCGGTTGTCTACATGGAACCTGCCAACAGCCCTTTCAGTGTACCTGCAAGGAAGGCTGGGGCGGTCTCTTCTGTAATCAGGGTGAGTGTTCCAGTCCCATCCACAGAAACTGTCTCCTCCCATCTAGCCATGGGCTGGCTGTTCCCAAATCCAAGCCTTCCACAGGAATGAGCTCCCCACAGTCCGAACTAAAGCCCCACTTCACCCTCCGAAACTCTCGATGACGTTGGCTGACGGTAGATCACTTGGTTCTTGAAGGGCAAGGGGAGGGGGTTCCCAGCATGCTCCCTGTTACTGGGCGCTGGGAGAGAGCAGCAGAGAGAGTCTTACCACCTCACCCTGGGAGATACATGCAATTGCAGGGGTGGGCAATGACGAGAATAAACCACTGTGAGGACAGACTCTCACTCAACTCCCTCCCCAGTACACTGCCTCATACACTCTTGAGCTGTATAACCCTCCCACATACAGTGCTCCCAACCTGCAACAGTGTCCCCCACCCCCACAGTGTCCGCCCACCCCCACCCTGCACCATTCCCCCCCCCAACAGTGTATCTCTCCTCCCACAGCACCCCCACCTCCCATAGTGTGCCCCTCCCCCCACAGTGTGCCTTTCTCCCAATGATGTGCCCCACCCCGACAGTGTCCCTTCCCCCATTGTAGCCACCTACCCACACAGTGTTCCCCTTCCCCAGATTGTCCCACCCCCGAAGTATCCCCCATCTCATAGTGTCCCTTTGCCCCACAGTGTTCAGCCCCTCCAGATTGTCCCCTCCCCTACAGTGTCCCATGCACCCCCCCGCAAAGTGTCCCCCCTTTCCCCATTGTGTCATCCTCCCCACAGTGTCCCCTACCTCCACCATGCCCCACCCAATTGCCCCTCCTCCTACGCGTATCCCTCCTTCCCGCAATGTCTCTCTCTTCCCCACCCCGCCCACCCCTGTGTCCCTCACCCTCCCCACAGTGCCCCTTCGACAGTGTTCCTGGACCTCCCCTGAGGTGGCTCTGCCACTTTCCTTCCCCCGTGTCCCTACTCCCACCAAATGCCCCCGCCCCCAGTCACTTTCCCCATCCTCTCTCCACAGAATCTAGACCCCCAATCTGCAGCCCCCACCCACCAACCCCCCCGCCTCCCCACTCCCTTACCCTACAGAGTGTGTTATTCCTTTTGGTCACCTTGTTTGGTTATATGAGTTGTGGGGGTTCAGTTATGGTCACCTCCAGAGGATTGAGGGGGTAACATTCACCCCTGCGTTGGGGGGTTTGGGGTTTATTGATAGTGGTTTTTATTAACGGTTGCCCTGGGAAAGGGGGCATTGGTGTTTATTAACACTTGCCCCCGAGAAGTGGGGGGAGGGTGCTCAGTAATGGTTGTCGGAGTTGGGAGTTGATTAACAGTCGCACCTAGGGATGGGTGGGTGGGGTCGTTAAACAGTTGCCCCCCCTCTGGGGATTAGGGGTGGGGGTCCTGCTGCCCCCTTCCCCGAGCATGTGTTGTGACTGACCTTGTGACTCTGCCTTTGCTCCCAGACCTCAACTACTGCACTCACAACAGACCGTGCCTGAACAACGCCACCTGTACCAACACCGGGCAGGGCAGCTATACCTGTACCTGCCAGCCCGGGTACACCGGTACCAACTGTCAATCGGCCCTTCGCCAATGTGACAGCAGCCCCTGCCGCAACGGGGGTACCTGCACGGTAAGAGAGCGCAAGGCATGGCCAGGCCAGGCTAGGCCTCAACCAGCTCAGAGGGCCCAGCAGGGGAGTGGGGGTATCAGGGAGGAGAGGGGCACCTGTTGGGGGGAGGGTCTATCCATTAGGGAGAGTGTGATATCCATCGGAGGGGGGATATCCATCGGGGTGGCGGGGGGGTTGGGGGCAATATCTGTCAGGGAGATGAGGGAATATCCATCAGGGAGAGGGGAATATCCATCAGGGAGAGGGAGGGATATCTATCCATCGGGGTGGGGGGGCGGCGGAATACCCATCAGGGAGGGGGGCACAATATCTGTCAGGGAGATGAGGGAATATCCAACAGGGAGAGGGGGATGTCCATCGGGGGGGCATATCCATCAGGAAGACGGTGGGGTAAAGGGATATCTATCAGGGGGGATTTCCATTGGTGAGAGGGGTGATACCTATCAGGGAGGGGGGGACATCCATTGGAGAGGGAGGGGCTATTCATTGGGGAAGGGGAATATCTATTAGGAAGAGGGATGGTATCCATCAGGGAGAGGAAATATCCATCAGGGAGAGGGGTGACCCATTGTAGAGGGGGGGGGGGGACACAGCGGGGGGGGGGGGATATCCATGGTGGGGAGTGGGGGTGGGGGGAAGGCAGGATTTAAAGCTGTGGTGTTGGAAAGGACATTTTACAGATAATGGTAACAAAAAAGTAACAGCAGACAGCACTGTGGGACCAACTGAGGTTCTCGCAGAGGGACAGCACATTAACAATTGTCTGAATGTCCACCTTTGGTGTGGACAGCGCTCACTGACAGACACGCAGAGAGAGAGAGACTCTGGAGGGAGTGTACCTTTGGTAAGTTTGTTCCTCATGTGCTTATGTTGCAGGAACTGGAAGACTCATACAGGTGCTCCTGCCTCCCCGGCTTCTTTGGAGAACACTGCGAGGACAGCACCCTCACCTGCGCTGACTCACCCTGTTTCAATGGTGGGTCCTGCATCGAGAGATCACAGGGCACTCCCTACAGCTGTATCTGCCCACTGGGCTTCACCGGCTTAAACTGTGAGCAGAAAGTGGGCTGGTGCACCAGGAACCTGTGTGCAAATGGTAACTCATATCCTGTAGCCCGCATCTCTTCTGTCCTTCTCTTCCCTTCTCCTTGTAAACACGCGCTTCAATGTGGAAGAAACTGGTTTAAAAAATTAACATGGAACTATAACGCCCTCTGGCACAAGAGGTGGCCATTTAGCCATTTTGTGTTTTTACTATGTCATTGTTTATCAATCCCAAACTATTCCCACTACCCCGCACTCTCCTCATTACGCTGTTGTCAATCCCAAACTATTCCCACTGTCCTGCACTCTCCCCATTATGCTGTTGTCAATCCCAAACTATTCCCACTGTCCCGCGCTCTCCCAATTACCTGTATTAATCCCAAACTATTCCCACTGTCCTGCACGCTCACCATTTCCCTGTATCAATCCCAAACTATTTCCACTGTCCCACGGTCTCCCGATTACCTGTATTAATTCCAAACTATTCCCACTGCGCCGCCCTCTCCCCATTGCCTTGTATCAATCCCAAACTATTCCCACTGCCCTGTATTCTCCCCATTGCCTTGTATCAATCCCAAACTATTCCCATTGCCCTGCACTCTCCCCATTGCCCTGTATCAATACCAAACTATTCCCACTGCCCCGCACTCTCTCCCCATTGCCCTGTATCAATCCCAAACTACTCACACTATCCCGTGCTCTCCCTATTACTCTATATTAATCCCAAACTAATCTCAGTGCCCCACTCTCTCCCCATTGCCTCATATCAATCCCAAACTACTCCCAATGCCCCACTCTCTCCCATTACCGTGTATCAATTCCAAACTAATCCCACTGCCCCACTCTGTCCCCATAGCCCTGCAACAAACCCCAAGATAATCAGCCTATCCTGCTCTTGGGCCATAACCCTTACGCATTCCTTGTACATATCCGTATGAATGTTCTGGGAGCAGGAGTAGGCCATTCAGCCCCTCATGTCTGCTGTGCCAGAGGATAAGAAATTGCGGGTTGATGTGAATATGACCATGACAGCACATTCCCATGCGATGTCTTCAGTATCAAGTGGTACGGTCAGGGTGAGACAAGGCCTCTGCCACCTTTCAGGCTTAAAGGGTGGGCTTTTGGGGTCTCACGTGCATTGTAACTACAGTGATAGCTGGAAGGTCCATGAGCAGGGATCAGATCACTCCTGGAATGTGCCAGAAGCCCTGGTTAGAGGGACAACTTAGGGAATGGCCTTGTTAAAGTGTGTTACCCATGGGGTGGGAAATTGGAGGTATCGGGATGAGGCCACTGCATGTAAACTAGTTACCCCAAACTGGAAAAGGTAAAGGCTCTTAGGGAATGGTCCAGACCAGTCCCAGGTGAGAATATTCCTGACGCTTATTATCCCAGTTTCTATCAGACATTCTCACTGGGTGACCCTGTCCTCCAAAAACAAAACTTGCACTTATGTAGCGCTGATCACAACCATCGGACATCTTGAATTGCTTCACAACTAAAGAAGTCGTGTTTTTTTTTGTCATCTCGCAATGCAGGATACACTGCAGCGAATTTTGTGCACAGCAAGCTCCCACAAACAGCAATGTGATAATGATCAGTTTTTTGAAATGTTTATTGAAGGCAGGTATCGTGCAGGGCACTGTACAGAACTCTCCCATTCACCCTCAGCACTGACCCTCCGACAGTGTGGCACTCCCTCAGTACTGAATCTCCAACAGTGCAGCACTCCCTCAGCACTGACCCTCCAACAGTGCGGCACTCCATCAGTACTGACCCTCCAACAGTGCGGCACTCCCTCAGTACTGACCCTCCGACAGTGCGGCACTCCATCAGTACTGACCCTCCGACAGTGCGGCACTCCCTCAGTACTGACCCTCCAACAGTGCGGCACTCCCTCAGCACTCAGAGTCAAATCTGTGACCGACTGATTTAAATCCAATCATATCTAGAAGCCAATGTAATTTGATAGACCATCTGAAACAGCGTTTCGATGTCTCTGGAATGGAATTGTGCTTGAACTGGGTGCTGGCAATAGTATTTTTTTCCTCCGGAATGTTCTTTCTCCTGGTGGATATTGAAGACTTCTCCCTTCAGCCACATGTCTTTACCACTGAATGTTGGAGTGGGGATATTGCAAATCCCAACCCACCCAATGGCAGGTCCTCATCACAACCCTCTGTCCCTTTTTTCACAGGGTTATGGGATGGAGTGAGAGAGAGGGATGGGATGTGGAATACAGGCCTCTCAGATCTTGGATGATTGTATAATTAGTTTTAATCAAGCTGTTACAAGACCTGACTGTGACGGGGTGACATTTAAACCTGGACCTCCTGACCCAGAGGCAATTACAGCACTACTTCGCCGGGAGAGTGCTCTGAAGCTGCTGCAGGGAATACTGTTTGATGAGATGGTTTGAAATGTTAGAATTTCAAGCTGAGGAGGCTTTAGGAAACCTTTTACGGGTAATTAAGGCTAAACAGGAAAGATTCCCAGGCTCGAAGGTTTGAAGACAGGGTGACAGTTCAGTTGATGGCTCAGGAGAGTTTGATTTTGGACAGGACGGGTGTGGGAGTGGAAGAATGTTTGGTGATTCCATTTTTGTTTGGTTCATCGCGTTACTTTTGGATAACATTGGCAATTGCGCTCGTTTTTAAACATCTTGCTCTGTTTTAATTGACCGTTGGGTCCTGGGCCTGGGGCAGAATAGTGTGACTGTGTTTATCCTGTGTTGCAATTGCTCACCTCGGGGAAAGTTGTTCAGCTTCGTGGTGGGTACAGGCTACGATGTATCACTGAAATTTTCAAGATGGTGCCTTCCCAACTGGTGTCCTGCCTATGCGTAATCAGTGAGGCCTGAGACTCGCCGGTGGGGCCTGTACATTGCCAGTGGGGCCTGTACATTGCCAATGTGACCTGTGAATCACCAATGAGGCCTGTGCATTGCCAGTGGGGCCTGCGCATCGCTGGTGGGGTCTGTACATTGCCAATGGGGCCTGTGAGTCACTGGCGGGGCCTACAAATCACCAGTGGGGCCTGTGCATCGCTGGTGAGGCCTGTGAATTGTCAGTTAGATCTAGGTTGCGTTTGTTGAATGTTCACCTTGAGACCTGCCCTTTATTGAACTGCTGTTAATCCTGTTCCCTCTCCCTCCCTGCAGGAGGCCAATGCTTAGATCTGGGGCTGTCGAGAATGTGCCGTTGTCAGGCCGGCTTTGCTGGGCAAAGGTGTGAGATCAACGTGAATGACTGCGCCAGGAGCCCATGTGCCAACGGGGCCACCTGCATCGACCAGATCAACAACTACACGTGTACGTGCGCCGCTGGCTTCTCAGGCCGGGACTGCGACCAACCGTTGGGGAGCGAGTGTGACTCCAGGCCGTGCCACAATGGCGGGAAATGCCACGCTGGCGTGCACGGTCAAAGCTTTGTGTGTCAGTGCCCCGTCAACTTCATGGGGTCCCTTTGTGAGATTCCTGTGTTTTCCATCCCGTTGCAGAAACGCCAGCAGCCCCCGAGCCCCTTCCCCTGGGTCGCCGTGTCTCTGGCCTTCGGGCTGATGGCTTTCGTCATGCTGCTGTGTGTCCTAGCTATTGCCCTGAGGCATGTGCAGAGGCCCAGCGGAAGGCAGCACCACGACACAGAGACGATGAACAACCTGACTGAGTCCCAGAGGGACAATCTGATCGTGGAATCACAGCTCAAGTTGACCAACAAGAAGGTTGACCTGGATTCAGACTGCATCGTGGAGAAAACCAATTACAAAGACAGGAACTTTGCCCTGGATTGGAATTTAGCTGCAGGCCTCAAGCCTGATCTGACTCAAGACCTGAAATGCCATAAAAACCACAACCACAGAAGAGAGGAAAGTTTGCCCCTCAGAAACCCGTGGTAAGGCTTCTTTGCTCCACTCGCTCTTTAACAGTTAAACATTTGACAACCCGAAAGCCACAAGGCAAGGATTATGGCCTGGGTGAGGCCTAGTGTTTGGAGTTAAAACAAACTGAGACCTCTCGGACCTTGTGCCTTTACAAAGAGATAAGAGGAGCTCGGAGAAACTGGGGTCCAACAACTCCCTCAGGACATTAGACCCCTGTAGGGGCAGGCCATGAGGGCTATTAGGGCAGCAGGGAGAGGAATGTGAGTGAAGGTTAAGATGTACATGGGGCGAAATGGAGGTGGTGGGGTGTGCTATGCATGGACTGAGAGCATGCAGATGGGAACGTAGAATTCAAAACTCAAACCGACCATGAGCTGTGATCTTATCGAATGCTGAGCAAGCTGTACAGCCTAACCTGTTTCATAAGAACATAATTCATATGTTCTTATCTCCCCACAAATAACTGTAGCCCCAGCACTGATCCCTGTGGCCCTCCACTAGTTATAGGTTGCCATCTGAAATTAAAAAAAACCCTTATCCGAACTCTGTCTTCTATTCATTAGATAATCATCTCTCCATGCTAATGCACAGCCTTCAACACCATGCTTCATATTATAATAACGTGTGATAATGTGTGGTACCTTATCAAAAATCCAAATATATTCCATCCACTGTTTCCCCTTTATCTATCCTGCTCGTTACTTGCTCAAAGTAAATGTGTCAGGTGTGATTTTCCCCTTCATGAAGCCATACTGACTCTTACCACGTTATTCCAAATGCTGTGCTATCACTTCCTTTATCATAGACTCTAACAATAACAGACAATAAGTTAACTGGTCTACAGTTATTTGTTTTTTTGACTCCATCCTTTTTTAAATAGAGGTGTTCCATTGGCAGGTTTCCGATCGTCTAGGACTTTTCCAGAATCTAAGGATTCCTGGAAGATATTTATTAGTGCAAGCACTATCTCCGTAGTTACTTCCTTTAAGATCCCAGTACGCATCCCATCAGGTTCAGGGGTCATACCATTTGTTTTCCTAGCATTTTTTCACCAGCGACAGTCATTGTATTTATTTCTCCTCCTCCTTTTAAACCTTAAATATTTAGTATTTTTGGAATGTTATAGGTGTCTTCTACTCTGAATACTGATGCAAGGTATTTATTCAACTCCTCCGTCACTTCCTGGTTCCCCATTATCATTTCCCCGGCCTTGTTCTCTGAGCATCCTACATTCACTTTGGCTTCTTGATATCCATCTTGATATTACTTGCACGTTTGCCTGCAAAGTTTTCCTTCTACCTCCTTATAATTTGTTAGGTTGTCCTTTGTTGGTTTTTAAAACCTTCCCAGTCCTCTGGCTTGCCACTAGTTGTGCCCACGTTGTATATTTTTATTTCTTTCAATTTGATGTTACCCTTAACATCCCTGGTTAGCCTTGGTTTGCTTATCCCCTTTGTCCTCAATGGGATAGCTCTGCTAAAACAGGACTGTTCAGCAGTTGCCTCCTCCTTATTAAATCTGCAGACGATGGAGTGTCTCAAACCTGCAACTCCACCTGACTAGCTGCCTGTAACATTAGACTCACAGTACGTCAAGCCTATTAAATGTCTTGTAAAAGACACGGCTTTATCGGAGATCAAAGAGGACGCTGTCACAACAACAAACACCTTGTGTTAAGTACAAGCTCCTCCTTTGCCATCAGGTCATATCAACCAGGGCTCAATGTCGTCATGGAAACTGCAGACAGCACTTACTGTTGTCGCTATTGCCATCCCGGACGACGCTCCCTGTCACGGTGGAGATCCTGGACGATGTTCCCTGTCGTCAAGGAAGTTCCTGTATGATGCTGTCTGTCGTCATGGAGATCCAGCACATGGAGATCCAGGATGATGCCTGTTGTTGTTGTGGAGATCCAAGATGATACTCTGTCATCATGGAGATCCAAGATGATGCCTGATGTTGTTGCGGAGATCACAAACACTTAGTGGGGGGAAACTGTGTGTGACTTGTGGGAGGATGAAGGTGAGACAACAACATTGACACTGCCTGCTGCTGTCGTGTTCACTCTGAAGAGCACGGGACGGGGGCCTCCAAACTAACTTGGTCTGGTGTTCAGATTTGGAAGACAAGGCCTAACGAAGAGAAAGCCAAAAACTGAAGTAGCAGAGGGCGAGGACACAACAGAAGGGTGGTGTGGAAGAGCAATCCTGGGGAGGTTGGGAAAAGGAGGGAGCAAAGTCTGGAAAGGGATTGAGTCTGGAGAGGTTGAGAGGTGGGTGACAGCTTCTTAGGTAAATGCAGGGAAGAGACATGGGTTCTGTGGCACTGATCCCACTCTGAGTTCAACACAGGGTCTGGGAAGTAACTCACAGTCCAAGCTGTCTACATTCTGAGTACCTGTTCCTCAGAATGGACAGAGCCTGGGGGCTACTGAGGGGCTTGAACTAGGGGTCTGACTGAAGGAAAGAGCTCTGTCCACTACACAAGTCAATGCGACTGTAATCTGGCCCATTTTTCTCTGTTTTCTGCTTGTTAACCAATTCATAGTCCATACTCATACAACTCCCCAATCCTATCTGCGATCATTTTATTTACGAATCTCATCTGTAAGCCCTATCAAAAGCCAAAATCCAAAAGCGGTACATTTGGTTCTCTTCTATCTATACTACAAGTAATTTTCTCGCACAACTCTAAGACACTTGTGAGACATGATTTCCCTTTCATAACTCCAGGTCCACTCTGTCCAGTTTTACCAGTGTTTTCTAAATGACCAGTTACCCCAACCTTCAAAATGGATTCTCACACTTTCCTTCCTACTGACATCAAGCTAACAGGCCTGCAGTTTTCCATTCTGTGTCCCTGTTAAATAGTGAGGTTATATTTACTACTTTCCAGTCCATAGAGACCTACCCAGAAACTAAAGAATTTTGAAAGATTGCCACCAATGCAACCACTATGTCTCTAGCCACTCCTTGAATGCTCTAATTTGGTCCAAGGTCCTTTATCAACCTTCAATCTGGTTAACTTCTCCTTTATGTTCCTTACTAGTTTACATTCACATGTGTTTCTCTATTTCTTAATAGTTTCTTGGACCTCTCTTGCTAGGTTCTAATTATTCCTGATCCTCAGGTTTATCAGCTTTTCTGGCAACTTTATAAGCCACTTCCTTTGATCGAGTGCAATCTTTAAGTTCTTTGAGTTAATTTATATTTCCTTCTGGGTGTTTGTGTCTTAGAGCAGTAAGTCCCAATTTTACGAGACTTCACAACTCTCTGCCTGCCATCTGTCCAGCCTTGCAGAGGTGGCCCAGTCATGGAGAGGAAGCCTGGTCACCCACGACTGTAGGTGACCCCCACCAGCCACCACGCCATGCAGGGGTTGGTGAGGTCATAAGCCAAACCCCTCTCCCACCCTCTCAACCCCCCAATTCCCCGCAGACCCAGCTCTGTGTGCAGCAGACCCCGCACTCTCCATAATCTATCTGTTATAGACTGTGTATTATTCTTTAAATACTAGCCTCTCTAGCGTCAAATCTTTCTGTGCCTTTTTCCCAAACCACCATGGCCAGCTTACCCCTCATGTGTTCATAGTTTCCTTGCTTCACATCCAAGACCCTACAGATGTTCAGAATGAGCCATAACTGCACTCAAACTTAACGTGAGATTCTATCATGGTCACCATTTACCAGAGATTCCCTTACAGCAAGGTCATCAATTAGCCTTTCCTCATGACAAAACACTAAACCAAAAATAGACCAATTCCTAGTTGTCCCTCAAAATACTTCTTCAGAAACATGTCTTGTACATATTCCAGGAATGTATCCTCTGTAGTGTTAGTGCTGACTTGCTTAACCCAATCTGTGTGTAAATTGAAATTGTCTGTTGTGACTGAATTACCCATGGCACATACAGCTCTAATTTCCTGATTACATTATCCCCAGTGTTACCTTGACTGTTTGACGGCTTACAAACCATTCCTATGGAGGTTTTGCTGCCCTTTACTATCTGTTAGTTCTACCCAAACTGCTTCTTTGACCTAAAGTCCTCTCTTACAAATGTAATGGTGTCAACTCTTAGTAAGCTAACGATCCCACCTCATTTTCTTTGTCGACATCCCTCCTAAACGTTGAACATCTTTGGTCAATCCGTTCCCAATTTTGATCACCCTGTAGCCATAAACAAAAATCCATTAACCGCACACTATGCATTCAAACCTAACATTTTGTGAATGCTGTCTATTTTCAGGTAGACTGTCCTTAATTCTGCTGTTAAAAATATTCTCTATACAGATTGCTTGCCTATGCCTCATGCGTCATGTGTATTCTATATTGGCATTCGACTTCCCTTGACCAGTTTTGCTTCCCACAAATCTGAAATTAGGGCATGGACTCACTTGCGAACCTAGTTTGAATTCAGCGCTCCAGCTTAGGGCAATCTACTTGACAGAGAGTCAGTGCTCCCCTGCATTCATGCTGTCTATCCACCTTGGAAGTGGGACAGAGGGAGTGCTACACTGTCAGAGGGTCATTATCGAGGGAGTGCTGCAGTGTCACAGGGTCAGAGCTGAGGGAGTGCTGCACTGTCAGAGGGTCAGTACTGAGGGAGTGCTGCAGTGTCACAGAGTCAGTACTGAGGGAGTGCTGCATCATCAGAGGGTCAGTACTGAGGGAGTGCTGCAGGGTCACAGAGTCAGTACTGAGGGAGTGCTGCATCGTCAGAGGGTCAGTACTGAGGAACGCTGCACTGTCGGAGGGTCAGTACTGAGGGAGTGCTGCACTGTCGGAGGGTCAGTACTGAGGGAGTGCTGCACTGTCGGAGGGTCAGTACTGAGGGAGCACTGCACTGTCAGAGGGTCAGTGCTAAGGGAGTGCTGCACTATCAGAGGGTCAGTGCTGAGGGAGTGCTGCATTGTCACAGGGTCAGCACTGAGGGGAGCTGCACTTTCAGAAGGTTAGTGCTGAGGGAGTGCTATAGTTTCAGAGGGATAGGACAGAGGGAGTGCTGACTGTTGGAGGGTCAGTATTGAGGGAACTTGCATTTTCGGAGAGTCTGTACTGAGAGAATGCTGCACCCTCAGGGGGTCCTTCGAGACAGAGTATTGTACTGTCGGAGGGTCAGTACTGAGAGAGGGCCGCACTGACAGAGGGTGAGTACGGAAGGAGTGCTGCACTGCTAGAGGGTCAGTACTGAGGGAGTGCTGCACTGTCGGAGGGTTAATACTGAGAGGGTCCCACACTTTTGGAGGGTTAGTACTGAAGGAATCCTGAACTTTTACAGCATCAGTGCTAAGGGAGTGCTGCAATGTTAGAGGGTCAGTACTGAGGGAGTACCGCCGTGTCGGAGGGTCAATGCTAAGGGAGTGCTGCGCTGTCAGAGGATCAGTACTAAGGGAGAGCTGCACTGTAGAAGAGTTAGTACTGAGAGAGTGCTACACTTTTGGAAGGTTAGTACTGAAGGAGTCCTGCACCTTAAGATCATCAGGGCTAAGGAAGTGTTGCACTGTTATAGGGTCATTACTTAGGGAGTGCTGCACTGTCAGAGGTTCAGTACTGAGGGAATGTTGCACTGTTATAGGGTCATTACTTAGGGAGTGCTGCACTGTCAGAGGTTCAGTACTGAGGGAATGTTGCACTGTTAGAGGGTCAGTCATGAGGAGGTCCTGGACTGTCGAAGGGTTAATGCTGAGGAAGCACCAGACTGTCAGGGGTTCAGCACTGAGGGAGTGCTGCAATGTGGAACTATCAGTAATGAGGAAGTGCTGGACTGTCAGGGAATCTGTAATGAGTCAGTGTTTCCCTGTTGAAGAGTTAGTACTGTGAGAGTGGTGAATTTTCAGAGGGTCTCTAATAAGGGGCTTCTGCACTGTTAGGGCACCAGTGCTATGGGAGTGCCGCACTGTTGGAGGGTCAGTGCTGAGGGAGTGCTGCACTGTCAGAGGGTCAGTACTG